AAGACTGGCGACGAAGATAGATTTAAGATCAAACCGCAGTTCCAAGGAAAGGCAGGGGAAAAGGTAAGGGGAAGAGAAATCATTAATTTGGTACAGCAAGATTCAACATCAAGTCCAAAAGTACCTCTTTTTGTGAAGGTCACTATCTTTTCCTCATTGAATTTATGAACCAGCTTGAATTCAGTACGTAACTGCCCATGGTTGTACATTTCACTTGGAAACATGGCTGGTATAAATTTGCCGATGTGTAATAAATATCTACATGTAATGTTCACTTGAACGGGCCAGAAGAGGAAAAAAGTGAACTAGCCACCAGCATTCCTGAAAGAAAAAGAGAATAGTTCCTCCAGTCAGAAGGAATTAACCTAAACTCTCAAGTGTCTTTTGCTAAGCACCGGACCAAATCTGTGCAACACAACCTGTGGAGTCTGCATTTCTTGCTAAGAAGTCCACCACCGGCATGGTGGTCTTTATTGATGGACTTGTTGCCGATGGCTTACATGGCATCCTCAGTGCTGTTGCCACGACAACATGCACTGAATGCCCCGGCAGTGCTTCTGGCCTCCAGGACTAAGCCCATCATAATCCATCAATATCTGGTCACCTTAGGCCTCCTGGACTGAGTCTAAACAAAAGCCACCAATAGTGGGTGTGGATTTGATGGATTTGGGATGGTTAGGGTTAAAGACCTGCTTTATGTTCAAATGATAACATTTGGCTTTTCATCTAAGTCCTCTGCTGATTTTACATGTATATTGTTTATGTTGATTGCCGCAGCAGAGATTTCTGAAGACGTTCTCAGATGAGCTTGACAGTAAACCCAAATTCAATCCGTAATTGCTGCCAGCTAGTTGTGCCGCTAGGATTATCGGTCACTTAAACCGGATGTAATTGGTTTGTTTTGTTTTCACCGATGGTATCAACAGTTGCTTAGACTTCAGCATAGGATTGGCACAGATAGTCGCTTCAAGCTGGGGGAACTATTCCTGGAAGATGAAGGTAAAACACTTGTTTCCGTTCCACCGCCCCCCTTTCCCATATAGAATATTTTGTCGGACGTATGCTCACATGAGGCCATACGATGGTCGAGATAAGTGGCACCAGTCTGTTTTTGTTACAATGTGCTCTGGGTGGACTTAAAACCTGACTTTATACATGTATACTGTAGGGAAGGCAGTGCCCTCAAAGGTCTTGAAACTGTACTGGTTGCTATGTGCTTCTGACAGTCTTCACTTTCATTGGTGGCTTTTTATTTATGCACGGATGTGGAATGCAGTTCCTATGTGCAGGCTGGGCATTTAGATGTTCGAGTTGATCCATGGCAGATGTCATAATAACAGGACAGTGATGTTTCTGATTCTGCTAAAATGCAGGATTTCTAAAATACAGAAATGTATTTAGATACGAACTAAATACTTGAATCCTTACTGTCCTAAACATGTCAATATCCACCAAGTGTTTCGGAAGATTTTGAAAGAAAGTGTGCCTTGAGGAGCTTGCACATTGGTGGAGTTTCTAGGGTTCAGGAAGATATCTCAGAAAATGTGTTCGTAGTTTGGGATGTGTGATTCTTTGCTTGGTGTACAGACGAAAGTAATGAGGAGGACATTGGTGAAAATCAAGACTTGAAGGCAGAGAAACAGAAAGCGCTGTCTGTGTTGGAGGACATTGTCGGGAGTCAGGCTATGCACAGCCTGGAGAGCAAGACTACTTCAAACTTCAGGTAAGGTGGATTGATCTTTATCAGCATGTAGATGATGTCAGTTGCTGTTGGTTGAGGAGTATTCTTTGACACTGCTAGTTTGCTTACCAAAAATGAGGTTTCGGATTACAGTCTTTCACTAATGATGTAGCCCTTTAAAGTCCAAAATGTTTACTTGCTTACTGATTCGTTGCAAGACAGTCTGTGACAGTTGCTTGGAAACGAGAGTTACAGATGTTGAAACAGGATGCTGATATGCCAAGATAACATGAAATTGTATGCAAGGTAATAAACCTGTCTGGCCCATTTAGCCTTTGGGTCTCTTGTGATCGGAAACTTTTTTAAATTTAAGATTAACCACTCACTGCCGGGTTTCCGGTACCTGACATATTCTCTATATGCGTGGCAGGGGTCTCCGAACTCGGTCAAAGGGAACTGGGCCTTGTAACAAAAGACTAGGCTTCTTGGTTTTACCAACATTTTTTTCTCTCTCAATTGTGGAGATAATCCAGCCTTTTGAAACAGTATACCACGGTTTGGGGGATTTAGCGCGAGCGGATTACCACCGGGGACAAAAGCACTCCACCACCGCAGCGATGAGCCACACAGTATCGCTGCATGCTAATCTGGCCCCTATTGAAAAGAGGTCAGCAGTATACTGTGCCGGTTTCGTGAACAAAAGAACATTATGTAACACCGCAAAATATGGGCTCTTTTTACAAGGCAGCAGGCCTGGCTGAAATACTCCAGCGTTAATAGATGTTGTCTATCAGATTAGAGTAGAAACCAGACAGTCCTTCGTGTGGATGGAAGTGTCCAGTAAATGAAGATAGGAATTTTTAAAGAATTTTGAAAACAGAAAAAAATGATAAATATTCCGTCCCAGCATCATCAACATTGATACCTGCCACTGGCGCGAAGTGGTTAAGAGTCCTCTAGTGCTCACCGTATGGTGGTCTTCACAACACTCTTACACTGTTCAGAGGGCAAGATGATTCAGTCCAAGCAAAGTCTTTCCAGTGGACCAAGTCATGTTTCATTCTACCAATTTGTGTCATGAAATCAAAAGTTCGTATTTTTTCCTCCTTTTTCCAGGGATCCTAGTCGATTAAGATATGATCCAACGAGGGAGGACCATGCTCATTTTGAGAGAGCAAATACTTCAATATCAAATGCGTAAGTTATTCGCTCTACACTTACTGCAACTATCCATTATTTGAATCCGTTGTTGCAATTCATTATATTGAAATCCTTAGAAGCAAACAATTAATACCTGAAATTTTAATGTAATCTTGGAGTGAATCTTTTTATCCTATTTGTTGTTTTGTTCAGTATAAAACAACAAAATGTTTAAGAAGTTTCTATCTGCACAGATCTTCTACAAAGAAAAAGGACAAGATAAAAGCTGAGACAGTAATTCCTGAGGTCTCTAAGGATGTGTACTATGAGGTCAGTGACCTGACGTTCACCGGGAGTAAAGACGAGAATCAACCCTTCAGGTTCTTTGGAGATGATGAGTTGGAGACAGGTGAGAAGCCTTGATTTTTTTAACAGGGGAGCTCGAGCATTTTTTTTGTTAAATGTGACCCAAACTAAAGAAGTGACTCATGAGTCACCAGGGCTACTTTGGGTTGCAGGCCTAGAAAAGAATCTTGGACAATGTGTAACATTGAGAACACTCAACAATTTCTGCCCGCAATGTCCATTTTTCTATACGGTAAATTAAGGAGCGGAACCATTCTATATTCACTAAATCACTTAAATGGCCTTAAGATTCATGTTGTGGGATTCATTCATAAATTAGCTTAAAAGTCTGCTTTTGCCTTGGAACAGTTCAAGCCCAAAGTGGTTTAGTGTCACTAGGTTGTCAAGGTCAAAGGGCACATTCAAGTTAAGATGTTGCATTGCAGCCATAAAGACTGTTGTCAAGACAGTGCAGGTTATTAGTGTGGAAAACCAGAGGGGAGGGTAGACGATGAATATCACCTCTCCATGGGAGTCAAACCTGCATTTGTGGGTTAGAAATTTAAATCCAAACTTTTGAACTGTTACGAAGAAGTAAAAATGTGTTTCACCCTAAAGGAAAATTTGTTTGATTTCATGCAGAGAATGATGACAGTGGTGTAGGTTTTGGCACCCTCCAGAAGGACATACAGGCTGCCACAACTCTGGGAAAGAGGCAGCTTGCACTCGACAGTAGCGACAGTGAGAGTGAGGTGGAAGAAGTGAAGCATGATGGGATGGATGACATGGACATCGCATCAGCTCCCGATGCAACAGCAGACAGCCAACCGACATCGGCCCACCAAGGATTCTTCTTTCAGCCTGATGATATACGATTGAAAAGTACGCATTTGTGCCAATTTCATTTCATTCTTGAATACAAATGGCATAATAATTACATTGCTAATGCCTTAGCAGTCTCCTATCAAGTGAAAGACACAGTCACCTGGAAATTTGACTTCAAAGCTGAAGCTTAAGACTGCAACACAAAGTTGGGTTTAAGAGAAGGCTTTACACTTCCAATTACACAATCTGCGGACTGCCTTGAATACTTAACCACTTTCCTCTGGAGTTCCCTGTACCGGGTACCTTGAATTAGTACGCATAGCCGGGGGTGCCCGAAATCGGACAAAGGAGCTGGGCCTTGTAACAAAAGACTCTACTCGGAACAAAAGACTGATCTGGTGGGAATTGCTATCATTTTTCAGTTGGCATTAGCAGAGGTAATCTGTCATTGTTTTGAAACAGTATACCACTGTTTGTGGCATTCAGTGCCAGCGAATTATTAGAGCGGACAAAAGTGCTCCAGCACTCTAGCGATGAACAATACGGTACTGCTGCACCCTGATCTGGCTGCATTTAAAAAGACACCGCTACCATTCCGCAATGAACTGGGCCAATTTCGAACAATTATGCAACGTCGCACAATCTGGGCTCTCTTTACTTGGCGGCAGGCCTGGCTGCAATAATCAGGAGTCAGTAGAGGTTACCTGTCAGATTAGAGTAGACTCCAGACAGTTATTTGTGTGGGTGTAAACGTCTAGTAAATGAAGTTGTGAATATTTGAAGAATGATGAAAACAGAAAATCTTGAAAATCGTCGGGGAACTCGTCCCGCATATGCAAATTCCACCCGGCAGGAAGTGGTTAATGCTTGCTTAATCTCCTGTTCAAACCTGCTTGTGCTGATATGATATATTTATTGAGTACATTTAGCCCCCAGCTGACTCTAAATTCTTGTGTTATCCTTCTCGCTGGGCCCAGAGAGATTCCTATGAACCGTCTCAACTCCATGA